CCAAAGAAGAGTGGGTCTGCTCCTGGAGGGTTCACAGTCAGCAATGGCTGAGCCCCGTGTCTACTCACTGGCCTCATGGAGAAGATCTGAGAAAGGGCACAGGTCAGTAGAGCTGCAGGACCAGCAGTTAGTGTAATGGCTATGTCGCTGAACTCCCATGTAGTTGACGACAGTTGAAGTCCCAGACCCAGTGGCTTTAACTCACGCCAAGCATGTGTGTGTGCGTGGCCCAGATTCTGAGAGGGGGAAGATCCTGAGAGGAGAATGGAGGAGAAGGGATTGCAGTGTGGCCACCCTGGGGGGGTGATTTCTTGCTTTCTGTCTCTCTGTCTCTCTCTGTCTGTCTGGCGAGCGTTCGCGCCCTATAGCAAAAACCTCTCCCCCCCAAAAAAAAAGTCAGTAGAGCTGGAGTGGGTGGGTCTTAAAAGCTCGAGGCAGGGGAATGGATCAAACTTGAGTCTGAAATCCATTCAGGTTACTCTAGACCTCTGGGACTTACCCACAAAAGGGAGAGAATAATAGTCCATACATCTTAGGGTCATTGCCAGGAGGAAATGAGTTAATCTATTGCGTCATTGGAAGAGTCATGACATAATTTTTTTATGTGAAAATATGTCACGACTTTTCCGACACCCCAGTATATTGTGGGTTTACAACAGGGCCTGGCCAGGGGTAAGCATTTTATAAGACTTTACTATGCTCTGTACGACCTATTGGGCATATTATCACGCTCCATTTTTTGCAGCAGTAAAACAGACTTCATTAGGACCAGCAGATGGCATAATAGTTACGTCGCTGGACTACCACATAGCCAACTGTGGTTTGAGTCCTGGACCCGGTGGCTTAAAACTCACACTAGGCATGTATGGGGGCATGTGTGCCCGAAATCCTGAGAGGAGAATGGAGGAGAAAGGATGGCAGTGTGGCAACCCCCTCTTGGTGGTGATTTCTTGCTTTCTGTCTCTCTGTCTCTCCAGTGAATGCTAGTACCCTATATCAAAAATCTCTCTCGGGACCAGGAGTTAGCGTAATGGTTGTGTCGCTGGACTCCCATGTAGTTGACCGCAGTTCGAGTCCCAGATCCAGTGGCTTAAACTCACGAGGGCGCATGTGCATGTGTGCCCAAGATCCCGAGAGGAGAATGGAGGAGAAGGGATTGCAGCATGGCCATCCCCCTGGGTGGGTGATTTCTCGCTTTCTGTCTCTCTGTCTCTCTCTGTCTTTTTGGCGAGCATATGCATCCTATAGCAAAAAGCTTTCAAAAAAAAAAGAAGAAGAAAGAAAAAGAAAGAAAGAAAAAGAAAGAAAGAAAGAAAGGAAGGAAGGAAGGAAGGAA